CCCTTGAACAAGGTTTTTGCTACCTTCTACAAGACAAAATCATGAGTCACAGTTGGCCCAAATCTTCTTAAATTGCTGCTAATAAAGGCACTGCCATGGTAATTCAGGGAAAAGGCTCACCTCTAACTGTTTCTAAGTACCACTTTTTATTACCTGCTATTTAGAGAATGGCAGGCAGCCAATAAAATTCTCAGTAGAACTCTGCATCCTCACATAGCTTGCAAATCATCTTATTTTCTATCTCTGAATAGCACAATGGATCATCAAATTAGTTTCTCCCTTGCTTCAACAGGCAATTTATTATATCAATCTTCTTAAGTGTTTAAAAATTAACATAAAAATCCCTATTCAGATTCCTTTAAATAAAAGGTAAGCGCACACAGCATTGTCTCACAACAATGGAGTTATTCACATATCTATTTTCAACAGCTACATGTGGAACAAAAGCAGCTTGGATGCAGAATATATTCAAAAGTTATACACAGCTAGGTTGAACACCAGAGATGTATCTTCCCTCTGTCAGCACTACACAAAAAAAAAGGACAAAATGTCTTTAACACACGAAACTTAACAAGGGTGTGCTCAATAAAGAAGACTGATTTATTAAACTTAAGTGGCACCATTGCCACCTGATTGCCTTTGATTTATATTGCTTTTAATTCACAGCTAGCAATGAAGTTTTATCAATTCCCTTTCAGCCCAAGTCATAAAGGCTACAGGTTTTAGATGGCATGGAATGGAAAACACCACTGCAACTGCTGTCTAACATCCCATGAGGAGGCAAAAGAAAACAATGGATATCACTGCAACTGAAATATAATGTCCCAATGATTAAGAGAGATTCTGAAGAGCAGACAGCTAAGGGTGAATAAAGTACATCATAAGTAAGAAGCTCATGAGACTAAGAGGCTTGCTGACCTACTACAGGCCTCAAAAAGGACTCAAAGGTAAAGATTCTGCAGAAAGGCTACACAATTTCTAAAGCTTCAGGGTATACTGAAGAATTATTTACCCAAAACACTTTTGAGGCGAAAAAGAAATACTGTCAGGTTACAGTATCAATACAGGACACGCTGGAACAAACTGATCATTAGAGCAGCAAGTCAGTAACAACAGATGGTTATGTTCTGATAGGATTTTAATACAGCGGTAAGTTTTAATGACTGCATCATAGCAGTTCAGACACCTGATTCTTGACAGCCAGAGGGCAAAAAACATTGCCAGAAGCACCAGAGGTGATCTGGGGAATCACAGGCACACTACCTTTATTTCAGGCTTAACATTTCATACAAATTATGTCAGAACTAAATATACACAGGAATATAGCTTCCCTGCAGCTAAACAACAGTGGTACTTGGTTGATTAAAGCACCAGGATGTGCTAGAATCTGAGATTGACGCACTATATTAACAAGTAATACTTGTGACTGAGCTGCAAGACAAACACATTGTTACTCCAAGTATAAGCTGTAGTTCCTACTGTAACAGCACCCAAAGACAAACTATATTGTGCTGTAAAAGAAAAATGTTGTAATTTCATTTAATCCTGATATATACAAGTACACAAGCACATACACAAATATATATATTATGGCATGTATGAAGGAAAAGATATTACATGGGAAGGTTGTATATCTTTTCAGAAAAATGGTAACCTTTCTACCTTTAGATTACATTCTGCAATTAAAAAACACTGCCAGATAACATTTTATGCAAATAGGAATTCTATTGAAAGTTATTTTATGAACTTCTGGACTGAAAACATATTCAATTAACGAAATCTACCTACGTTCAGAGCCTCTTCCCATCACATAATTCCTATCCTAAAGAAAAACACAAACATGAGACCAGCAAAGATTTCTGCACTTTGCATGTAATCGTATGTATAAGCTATACTAATAATTGATTTAAGTGCATACTACATTTACATCAAACAACTTGAGACTTGTCACTGAAGCTAACAATTCTCCAGCTCTTTTATTAAAGATTATCAGCTTCCTATGAATATGCTTCAACAAGACAGCGTGCACCTTACAGCGTGTCAAGGAACACTGGCATATTGGAGATCTGTACACACAATAAATTTCAGATGCAAAAACCTGAAGAGAAACCTGCAACAAAAGTTGACACACACCATACTGCACTTAACTAAATAAATTTTGAATTAATTTTAATACCAGTACTTCAGCTTAAACATCACTATCACTACAACATATAGAGAATGCCTTAAAGGAACCATGACTCAAACCTTCAACACTTTTTACAGGTCACGACTAACACCAGATTATAGTCACCAAGAAACTGGAAGCTGAAATTCACTAAGTAGCCAAGGTTATAAAAATAAATAATCAAGCTATCCACTTATACACAGCTTCTGAGCAGCCTTTTTATGTAGTATGAAGCAGATACAAAAATGAGAAGGAATAGGATCAGCCTCAGCCATGTGTCTTACTAGAGAATGAAAAAACCTGATTTAGCTAGAAATTAATAATGGGATTAGAGGGAAGCTTTTTTGGAGGGAGGGGGAAGAGCATCTCTGAACAAGCTGTGCCCATTCTGGGATTCAATTGGATGTGATAGCGATAGTTTTCAAAGACTCACAGATGCTAGAAACTAGGACTTCCTTACAAACAGCCTGTTACCAATTAATTGGAAGAAAGCTTATTTTACACTTAACAACGTTTCTTCTGTTTATGTCAGAAGCTCTCCTGGTTTCAGCTGGGATAGAGTTAATTTTCTTCCTAGTAGCTGGCATAACACTGTTTTGGATTTAGCATGAGAAGAATGTTGATAACACACTGATGGTTTAGGTGTTGCTAAGTAGTGCTTAGACTAGTCAAGGACTTTTCAGCTTCCCATGCTCTGCCAGGTGCACAAAAAGCTGAGAGGGAGCACAGCCAGGACAGCTGACCCAAACTGGCCAAAGGGGTATCCATACCATATGACATCATGCTCAGTATAAAAACTGCAGGGAATTCGTCAGGGGACAGCAATCGCTGCTCAGGGCTGGGTTAGGCATTGGGCAGTGGTGAGCAATTGCATTGTGCATCATTTGTCTTGTACATTACTATTTTCCTCTGCTGTTTTATTAAACTGTCTTTATCACAACCTATTGGTTATACTTTTTTGTTCTGATTCCCTCCCCATCCCACTGGGGGTGGGCAGAGATTGAGCAAGATGTTGCTTGGCCTATTTTGAAGCTGGTTTACTTTGAACCTATTTTACAGTTACGTTACTACACAACATACACAAAGACTAACACATATCTGTGCATGCTCAAAAATATATTTCTGGAAAAATAAACTTAACCATTGTCCTATATTAATAGGTAAGGCAAAGTGAGAATTAAGGTGGTTTATGTATAAACTCAAAGTCTCTTAAAGACTTTGTCCAGAACATTGCTTCTGATAGATATCTGAAAAATTACAGTATCATTGTCTGTCAATGAAGAATACCTTAACAGGACCATTCTCTGTATAAAACATCTTGTTTCGTACCATGCACCAGTGCCCTACGTGCAGATAAACATAGCCTCTTCTGGTAAAAGTTAGATTAATCACACATGACTCTTAGCTAGGATATTTTTGCCATTAATTAAAAAGCAACATGAATTAATACTATAATAGAGTTGAGATGAATCTACAAAAAGTAAAAGTAGATGCCATCCTAGCGTGCAGTATGTACTCAAGTGGAAACTAAATTCCAAAAGTTGCAGTTCAGAAAAGAAGCAAGATCCTTTTATTCTGCTAGATAGCGCTATACTCCTACCTGTAAAAGGAACTGTAAATATTACAGTGAAGCTACATAATTGTGGTGAGCTTTTATAATCAGGCTTGTCAATGCTTTCACTACTGAGTATTTTTCCTGCCTAACCACTACAACTAGCTACAACTAACTTTAAAGAAGCCATTCTGATATACTCACTATATACCTTTCACTGTAGACAATCACTTTATTTTCCCCGCCCTGCAGTCATTTTCTGTTTTTAAGCCAGATTCAGGCACAGTTCAGCACTGGGAGAAAACTGTGTCTACAGTATCATACCCCTGCAAACAGCCAAGGTGAAGCAGGAAGACAGTAGAGGCAAGTGCAATGATGATAAGTGTGTGTGTGACTGAAGGCATGGACATGACAAATTCAGGCCCTTATCTTATACAGTCCACCTCAGATAGTATTATAATGCCTAACAAGCAATCTGTTACTATATTGAAATATTCTGATGTAATGAACTTAGTAACCTTGTGAAAGTGAGAATAGTCACCTCTTGTGCCTTAGGTTTGTTTCCACTTGGCTTGGTTCTATTTTATAAATTAATAACAAACTTCTAAACAAACCTGATTTTTCTGGTTTTCTTGCTTTTTCTTCTGGCTTGATGTGCTATAACCTGATTGCATTTCTACAAAGCTCACTTGTTATATGAGGTTATTACCCAAAACTAAAACAACCTCTGAGAATCAATATAAAATTTCAGGCTGGCTTTGGAATGCTTCTCTATCTTATTACAGATTTTTTGTCTCCAGGTGAGCTTACTGCAGCTTTTTCTACTCAAAGGAACTTGGTGTCATATTGCTGTTTGAAACCAATATAAAATTTCTAAGTAACAGGTACCAACTTCAGGAGCTGAGAGAACCAATCTTTAGGTCAAGTGCATGAAACCCCCAAAAGATACAGAGCATTAGAGAACACTGCAGAACTTGTCAACACAAAGATGGAAAACTGCATATACAAACATGGATAGAGGAAAGAGGGGAAAACTACACAAATAATTTTTCCATAGGAGTTCTGACAGGATAACTGTGCCATCTATCTGCACTTCTGTACAGGGAGGAGAAGTTACAGGTCTTACTCTAATAGGTGAGCTACTATTTCATGTGCAGAATTATTACTTTTGCCATTTCTATGTTACTAATACATCCATATTTCTAAAAATAATACTTATGAATTTCTGAGTTTTGTGAGAATATATCATACATAAGTACTTATTATCCAGAGCAGTCTTACCTGCTACCAAGGATTGGCTCCCCAGAGGCTCCCAAAGCAGAATAGTCCATGCCATAGAAATTCAGTCCTAGAAGTATTTTATTCCTCCATTTTGAATCAGGATCCAGTATTTGAACACAGGCTTGTACCCAGGGAAGAGGTGAATTCGGACCAGGTCTGTCGAGTTAGCAAAAATCCAAGAGTTTGTCAGAAAAAGTACACATTCATTCTCAGCTTTCTCTTTTTGACTAGTGTAATTGTAAAAAGCAAACTATGGCACGCAAAAATCAGCAAAGGCTAACCTATAATCCTATGAATGTTAAATGCACATTCTTTGGTGGCTTGAAGTACTGATGCACAAAACATGCTTGCCCCACTCTTGACTTTGTGATTCATTTCTGATGTGAAGGGACACAAAGCTTCTTACAGTGGTAAGAAAAGGTTTCCACCTAGCACACTTTCTCTGTCACTGGGCCTGGCACCATGCCCACATGAGAATTCAAAACTCTGTATGACTGCAGTAGTTTTCCAACACCATCCTCAATGTTTTTACTGTAAACTGGCACAACATACTGGGACAAAATCCACCATTTACTTACAGAAAGAACATTAAATTAGTGAATGGTAAAGCAAGACACGTTTCAATGATTAACACTTATTTATGGATAAAACCCTAAGTAGGCAATTACCCAGCAAAAAGCTACATCAAGAAAAAGAGTAGAGACTTAATAAATACAGTAATTGAACTGCCATACATATAGTATCAGGATATCATGCTCATTCCATTCCTATCTCATCAGAAAGGAGAGCAGGCTTTATCGCTAACACTTACTAACACCACAAAAGGAAAAGCGTATTCTAGTCTCACAAATATCAACATCTTCTACTCCCTACTAATTATCTGCCTCAAAGCCTTCAGGATATCTGTGCCATTAAAACTCAGTGTGCTAATGCAGTACAGGAATGTTGCTGGAAATTATGTTTGTATTTAAAGGCAAAAAATTTATGAGAAAACATGTATTATGCTGTATTTCATCTACTCAGACCAATCAAAGCAAATTCAAGCAAAAAATATTTGAATTCTTTTTATCAAATCCTTTCTCAGACTATAAGCATTACATCTCAGAAACTACATTTATTTCAAATACAGTGAGTGTGAACTGAAGAATGCTTCCCTCCTCCTTTCAAGTAAAAAAGATCAGCAGCTCCATGTCAGGTCTAAGCAACTTAAAGCACCCGTGAAGGCATAAAGATGTGACTACCACATAACCGAACCTGTGATTTTAACATGGCATAAAGCACGGTGCAGCTTTGCCACACAGGAAAGATCCAGCCCACAGTACAGTATTTCAAAATGCATTCAGGGTTCCAGATGGGTTTGTGTTGCCTGTACAAATGCCCAACCTCTACGCTGCATATTCCAGCAGGAGAGTAACAAAAAACTGTTGTAACTTCAGTACACGTTACTATGTTTGCTCTCCTCTAGATATCTAGGCTTGAAGATGTAGAGACAGGACAGAGAGAGGTAGGAAGGAGGTATATAAATTCCTTCCAGAAGAGACAAAAGTTGCTTTCTGTTAAACCTCTCTAGACATTATCAAAATGCTAATATACTATAGGTGACAAAGGTTTTAGTGATGTAATAAACACAAATACGATGGCATTTCTAAATCTGCCAGTTTACCACAAACATTAACTCTGGACAGCCACCCTGATGCAAGATACACAGAATCTCCCAGGAATTCCAAAAGCATATCCTTACCTGCAATTTGGAGGTGAAATGAACCATGCTTTTGGAGAACAGTAAGATAAAGAGTCTCTGCAGAGTTTAAGGACCTCTCAACTACATTGCTGCTCCACTTTCACACAGTTAAAAATATTAAGCTCCTGAACATGAATATTCATGTACAAGAGTGAAGTTTTGTGTTATTTTTCAGTCAGATCAGCTCCCTGATCTGGTTTGATGAACGGCTGCATGAGCAGCTCTATCAAGGGAGGGACTACTGGAAGAATGGAAAGCCATATTCAAGCACGTCCACATAAGCAGTGCTGCCATAAGGCACTGTGCTGCCTCAGGATAAAGCAAATGAGTTGTCAATTGTGCTTTAAAGCTAATTTTTTTCAACAATGACATGTACTAGATTATTCGTTTACCTATCCTGCAGAACTGTGCTAAATAACTAAAACCAAAAGAACCTGGCGTGAAAAAGACTAAGTGTCACAGAACTAGTAAAAGGATAATTTTTTGCTTGAGTACAAATCCCTTCACAGTATCTCAGTGCCAAATATACACTGCTATTAGACAATGTCTTGAGTTACTGGCTTGTTCAAAAATCACCTATCCTAATTACTAATCCAAAACTTTGGTATCTGATACAGTTAAAACACACTATCCACTTTACTAAAAAAATGAACTCATGCTGTAGATCTAGTATTGACTTAACTGGGAATCAGTTCCTTCAGCAATCTTTTTCCAATGTTAGATGGAGTCTTACCGTTGTGGTGTTGAATAGTCATATGTCATGAGACTGAAGCCGTCTATTGCTGAGGCCAACTGATCAAATTCTTTTTTTGTGAACATTCCTGGCTGGTTAGTCCTTTTAAAACAAAGCAAAACAAGGAAAAACAGGAAGAGATAAATTACTACAATAACCTGGCTTATTCTCTCCTTTGGTTTTCATACCATCTGATCAGGTAATAAAAATCTTTCATTCTGAGGTAGCAAAAAAACATATTTCAGTGTCATTCTTACAATAAATGTCTAAGAAAAAAATGTTCAATGCTACTTATGTTGCTAGTGGGAAGAATCAGACTTCCGCAGCATACTTAACAAATAAGCATTTCCAGCATGGCTACCACAGTGATTATAAGGGCTGCGGACTAACCCAACAGCCTTAGGTGGCAATCAACTGAACTCTTAAAAGCTTTTACAAAACCTTTAATTGCTTGGCCTGTCAAACTGTTTTTGATACTTATATAACTAAATTATCTGAGCCATACTTAAATAAATGAATGGGTGCAGCTGTTGATACAAAAACATAAGCCAAAGGTAACTTTTTTCTTAATCTCAGTAATAACAATATTTTCAGCTTGTAGCATACTTAAATTTTCTCTCACCAGTGAAAACACTTTATTTTCTTTTCATTCCCTTCCAAAAAAGTCCTAAAAAGCAGAAGGCAAATACAACTGCCTGCTTTTAGCAAAAGACTATACAAACCTCTTTTCTTTAGACAAAACCACATGCATTTCTTTCTTTTTGGGGGGGAGGCAGGGGGAGAAGAAATCCATTCTATGACCTTGTCTAGACAAAAGTCTAGTTATGCATTTTGCATATCTTCATACGATATATTGAACACCGGTCTTTCTTCCCCCTATTTTTGCTTATTCCTGATTTACAAAATCTAGCATTGGGTTAGTATCTACCTTAGCTTCATGAATGAGTGGGTGTATTTTTGACAGTTTTGGACTCATAGAGACTACTGACTTCCTTCAAACATTCAACTCAGAAACAATTAATGCACACAAGTTGCCTGAAAACATTGAAGCTGTTTCAAAGAGAATTGATAACTTCAAACTACCAGCACACACAGCACAGCGGGGAACATAAGGCAGCCTTAATCACATTGCAAAGATGGGACTGAACTAGAAAGTAGAAGCTGCTGCCAGGAGAACCATGTCCTCAGCCAGAGGGCTCTGAAGCATGTTAACATGAAACAGACAGGTAGAGAAGTAGCATATTGTCCTAAATAGCCTGGGAGAGCAGGGTTCACAGGAGAACATTACAAAAGAAAAGAAAAGAAAAAGAATAAAAAGGTGGTTTAGCAGCTACAAACTCTGTGGTGCGATTCTGCCATTCGAGAGGCAGACTTAGAGGATTGTACAAGATTCCTGTAGAGAGTAGAGGAGAGAGACTGAAGAATCCTGATGTTCCCAGTAATACCAGAAACCACTACTTGATCTAGAAATTAGTAGGCAACCCCTATCTAGACAAGGTACATCTCAAAACCACTCATGTTCCATCTTAAATCTAACCACCAAAAAGATGGTCAGTGACAGATGCAAGTAATAAACTGAAAAATCACTTATTTTGACCCTTATCATTTTTGGATCAGTGTGCAAATTCTCCATCCAACAATATGTGCTGAGTGGATCACCAGAGCATAACAGCGTTCATTTATCAGTTTACAAGGACACTTTCTGCTCCATCACATTAGGAAAGAGGTTAACAGAATACAGGTTACAAAGTGGGGCAGATTAAATCATTTAACATGCCTGTCACACTGTAGGGGAGCAAAGCATGAATGATATTTGCAAGTCAGGTCAATGAATCTGACCAAACATACACTGGATCATGTAGCCGTAATTTGTACGAAGCATAGTGGTGTTCTGGAAGTCTCAAGTTTTCAGAACCAGTGATATACTTGTTATATTAAGGAGAAATCCCATCCCTTTCTTTCCAGGGTTTTAACAAATTAAAAGAAATCTTCACTTCTGGAACCTATTGGTGGACCTCAGTGTTTTGGATAGTTATCTGCTTGTCATTTACTGCAACTGCAAACTACAGTTGTTCTACAAGAATAAAGTGAAAGACTTCTTTGAAACAATGTCATGGCAACTTGGATGTCTGTAGTCAAAGCAATTCCCCAGCAAAACATATTTTCAGTAAATTGATTGTGATTACTCATGAAGGGAAAAGCATAAAAAGTAATTATAATGTGTATTAAATATTAGGGCAAGCTGGATTGCTTTATGGATTAAGCCGGGTAGTACTTCAATGAAATTTGTCTATGTAACTTACCTTCTACATCCATTTTTCATACATACTATCAAGGAATATGTAAAAAAAAAAACAAAAAAACAAAAACCCCCCCCTCCCCCCCCCCCCCCAAAAAAAAACCCACCAAAAAAAATGGGTTAAAATGGATATTATCATCATATTCTCCAAAGCAAGCTTGTAACTGAACAACTACTTTTACAAAGGAATGCCATCTGAGGAGCAAGGTCATAAATTTCCAACTTGGAACAAACCCAGCAGCAACAAATATGCTTTGTCCATTCATGAATAGCATTAAACACCCCCGCTCTTCACAGAAAACAAGCACCACCCACCTGCTCAATCAGGACCACCAGTCAATTCTGCTCTAGTCAAACACTTCAGGATACTGTCCACTGGAGCAAAAATAAGACTATTTGATTCATGCCTTGAGAATTGTTCTGAGTCAAGAAAATTGGCACTCAAGGATAGAAATTGAATGTTTTTCAACAGTTATTATGCTTCTCGTTTATGTTTTCCAATTATTCTGATATTTAATTGTAAACTTAACTCAAGGGCAGGTATGTTCTACTGACTACATGGTTGAGAAAACCAGCACAGAGAAAATCAAGAGACTTGGCACAGAACATACAAAGTCCAGGAGAATAAAAGTTTCCAAGTCTAAGACACAAGCCTGTCATTCTAAGCTTTGAGTGCCATTTCCAAAATACTCAGCGAAATGGCAGAAACTTCATCATTTATCAGCACTGTACAACATACATACTAAAGACAGCTTGTTACTAAATAGTCCGATGACTAAAACCTTGGTGATTTTATCTGCTCACTATCAACAACACAAAGGTGAAGGAGCAGAAGTCAGGTGTATGAACATGAATAATAGGAAAAGAAAATTATTTGATATAACTGAAAAGCCTCTTTGTATGGAATTTATCCTGACCTCTGAACTACTTCATTTGCTTTATCTTTGAGTTCACCATCAGACACCATTCAAAAATCACGTCTCATTTAGAATCTAACAAACGTACTTGTTAGAAGAGTGAAGTTCAACACTGAATACAAGAAAAAACTGCTGTTTAAAGAAACCTGGTCCTACTGGCCTGAAAATATACTGAAATTATGCAACATGCAATATGAATCAATTTAGATTCAAGAAGTAAATTTAAGCAGAAAAGAGTATTCTTTTTACAGTAGCTTATACTAAATCCTTTTTACTGCTGTTCTACGAGCCAGACACTTCAAATGATATTTGCATTTGTTTTTTTCTAACTCAATACCTTAAGCAAATGCCATACGGTTTCCTTAACTTTCTGCTCAAATGCACCAGTGTTCTTACGTGATTCTTGTCTCATTGTTCAACATCGTTAACTCTGAAACTTATTAAATACTAGCAAACCCCCCAACTATTCAAGTTTGGAAATGGCCATCTAATCTCAGCAAAATTTGCATCTATATGGACTGTAAAAGTTGCTCCACAAGGAGAAATTCACCACAGAGATGAAATTCATGGCACTTTAACTGCAATAAAAACCACCTCTGATACCATATATACAACAAATAATTCGTTTCAACTGAGGTCTGGATATAATGTCCATCATGATGCGCATAGGACATTATCCCAGGTGCTGGTTCAAAGCTGTGTCAGGGAAGGTTTGCACTTGACACTAGGAAGCATTTCTCTACAGAGAGGCTGGTCAAACACCGCATTTCTCTACAGAGAGGCTGGTCAAACACCGGAACAGGCTTCCTAGAGAGGTGATTGATGCCCCACGCCTGTCAGTGTTCAACAGGCATTTGGACAATGCCCTTAGTAATATGCTTTCACTTTTGGTCAGCCCTGAAGTGATGAGGCAGTTGGACTTAGATGATCGTTGTAGGTCCCTTCCAACTGAAAATATTCTATTCCATCTTTCCCATCCCTTTGTAGGGAACCACTGAGTTACTGAGAGAATAAGTACTCTACTTTTTGAGCATAATGTTTAAGACACAGAAATATTACTAAAAAGTGACACAGTCTTTTTCTTGTACAGAGAACAGCTGTCCCTCAGACACATCATCAACACTTTTGCTTTAAACCAGCCCATTTCCTTGGGAGGTGATGAAGCTTCCACCACATGCATTTAAGAGATGCATTTTATTGCATAAAATACTGACTTCCCTGCGGAAACTTTGTTTACATGGCCCAGTATTAATTTCTTCCCATTCTTAGCTATGTGACTTTCAGCTTGACTAAGAAGATCCTTTGTTGAGAGATTTGCCATTTCCATTTGTAAGCTCCTGACCCAAATTTCTGCTAGACAACACAGCAAGAGTAAAAACTATTCCCCTGAGAGCACAGGTCTTATTTGCACATATTCCTGACAATTTGTCAGTATTTTCTGATGGCACACTGCTATATGAATATACAGAAACTATTATAGGGACATCACAGAAGAAGAAATCACCCATTTTCCTTGATATTTCTGTATACACAGCTAAGAATTTCATAGTCCTTTTACCATTCTATCCTTTCACATCTAAAAATAAGTGCAGGGGAGTTTGTTTCATAACCTAGAATGTCTGTTACCTGAATCTTCCAAATAGCATATGGTCATATGTATCAAAATTCCCATTAATGCTTTACCAATAAGTATTTCTATAAGGTTTTGACTTTGTGGTCTTTCATATTGATACGAATGAAAGAGTATTCATACTTCAACCATGCAAGCTAGTTTTACATTTACTTTCAAATGAATCTACATCCTCAATTACTTTTAGTCTCACTATGATTACCCTCAAAATGAAATAAGAAAAAAAAAGGTTTTGTAACTGACTGCTATTCCCTGC